CAATGGTTTTTTGTTTTTTTAATAATCTCTTTAATTTCAGATAAAGTAAATATTAATAGATAAAACCCACTTATGTAGAGGCTCTTTAGAGTCTTAAGTGAATTTTAAGAGGGCCATTGTCACATGACACCAAGCAGGAAAGACTGTTAATCTATTTAGACAGAGTTTCAGTCCCAGGCCAGCCTTGAACACATGATCATCCTTCTACCTCAGCCTCCCAAGTACTGAGATTGCAGGAGTGTGTCACCACACTCAGCCTAAAGGGATGCAGTCTTGATATCAGTATTTTTAAAGGCTCGTTTATAATGTTTGCTCACAAAGGAGTCTTTTTAAGATTTGGAATTTCTTCCCATTAAATTTTCCACATTTTAGTCAAGAATGTAAGTGGGCTGATTAGTTTTTCATCTGTTTTGAATTTTCCTCCAGCTGCTGTCGAATGCTACGGCCATGTGACAGTAGCTCGGAGTGTGGTCCCCTCAGAGACGCCTTAGTATCCCTACTCAGAAAGATGCCCTGCCGCAGCGGGTGTTCATCTGTTGCTATTTAAGGCTTTTGCTATTAAGATCTTCTGTCTTGTTTGGACTCTCTGTTTTTTCAGCACAGGCTTTGGTACTACTTGCAAAATAATCTTGGATAGAGCAGCTATTGAAAACACATCGTTGGGGGCTAGGAATGTAGCTCAGCTAGTAAAGTGCTTGCTTAGGGTACACAGAGCCCTGGGTTTGATCGCCAGCACCAAGTAAACCATGCCTAATAGTGCACGCCTGTAATCCCAGCACTCAGGAAGTGGGGTCGGGGGATCAGAAGTTGAAGGTCATTCTGGGCTATGTGAGGCCCCATCTCAGAACCCAAAGAAAAGGAAACACATTGTTAGCTTGTAACCAGTCATCTTTACGGTGACTTCAGTCCCTTGAGGAAGTATTTCTTGTTTGTGTTTGCAGGGACTTGGGTGTCAAAGCTGTTACCTTGTATTACTACAAAGAATTGCTTCCCGGCACTACACAATCCACTCTAGCCAGTTACTCAGCCCCCCTCCCCTTTCATTTTTAAATAAATACGATCACTGTTGAACTATTTGAAGAAAGGTTGCTGCTCAGGAGGGGGGGGACATTAGGAAGTCTTACCCTGAAGTACTAGGAGCAATTCATAACCATTACTTGAATTGTTTGTATATTTACCCTTTCCCGTTGTTTAAACAGACCTGCCGTCTCATTCCCACTTCCTAACAACCCTCATCTTAGAGATCACAGAAAAATAATCTTCTAAGCAGTGTTTCTTAAAATGGAAGCTGCATGAGCTGTATTGAGGCCCAAGAATCACTAAGAACTTTTAAGTATTTGTTTCTTATTTTTCTATGACAATGTTTTAAAAGATTGGTTATAAAGATGAGAATTTTTTAAAAATTTTATTTATTAATTTTATATTATGTGTATGCGTATATTGCCTGCATGTAGGTAAGTGCACCTGTGTCCTGCAATGCCATCGGAGGTCAGAAGAGGCTGTCGATCCCCTGGGACTGGAGTTAACGGACAGTTGTTAGCTGCCATGTGGGTGCTGGGATTCGAACCCGGGTCTTCTGCAAGAACAACCAGTGTTCTTAACCACTGAGCCATCTCTCCAGCCCCAAAGATAAGAATTTTACAGGGGTTATTTTCAATGAGACACTTTAGTGGCAGAAGGCTTTAACATCCTGAGCGTGGTGGCTCACAACTTTAATCCCAGCACTCGGGAGGCAGAGACCGGCAGATCTCTGTGGGTTCAAGGCCAGCCTGGTCTACATAGCGAGTTCCGGGTCAGCTGGGACTACAGGGAGACCCTGTCTCAAATAATTAATAATAGTAATAATAACCTAAGTGCAATAGTAGACTTAAAGTTGATGTACAGTTTGTAAAGGGAACTGACAGTACAGCTCCCTGTTGGCACTTAACAGTACAGCTTTGTATATAGCACATGTGCAAAGTGGTTGGACTGCACAGGAATAATTAAAGGACAAGAGAGAACTTTTAGAGGTGGTAAATGTTTATTTGTGGGGGTAGATTGTGGCCATGGTTGGTATTGTGGATATATGCTTACCTTTAGATTCATCATTGGATGCATGATGTATAACTTTTGTTGTTGACAAAGTCTCACTGCCTCGCTCAGGCTGGCCTTGACTCCTAGGCTCCTGTCATCCTCCTGCCTCAGCCTCCTGAGCGCCTGTATTACTACTGTGTCTGGCTAAATATGTATGCTGCTTTTTTTGGGGGGGGGTCTTTTCGAGACACGGTCTCCTTGTAGCCCCAGCTGACCTAGAACTCACTATGTAGACCAGGCTGGCCTTGAACTCACAGAGGTCTGCTTGCCTCTCTGACTCCTAAGTGCTGGGATCGAAGGCGTGCATCACCATGCTAGGCTTTTAAAAACAAAAACAAAAAACAAAACAGGGGCTCATGTAGCCCAGGCTAGCCTCAAAGTTGTTTATTTAACTGAGGATACCCTTGAACTTCAGATCCTCCTGCCTGGACCTCCTGGGTGCTAAAGTTGTAGGCATGCACTACCACACACAGTTTATGAGGTGCCACAGATGAAACCCAGGGCTTCCTGTATGCTAAGCAAGCACTCTACCAATTGTGCTACAGCCCCAGCCCCATTGCTGTCAATCATACCTTAATGAGGTAGCTAGAAAAAAAGAAAAGCTGAAATGTGTCACTAAGTGTGCTGTTACCTCCTGTGTGTGACAGCATTTGGTGCTTTGGTATTTATTGACTTGGGCCTTCTGGCTTCACAGGATGCTCATGACTGTATCTGTGAATCACAGGGATCACACTGTAGGTCCACAGCCAAGCCATTGAGATGGTTGGTAGCTTGTGTCTGGAGCACTGTGACTGGCTAGAGCCTCATCAGCTCTGGTCTCTCCAAGCAGCAGTGTGCCTCCCATCTGGCTTCACCGGAGCTCTAACCCCTATGTGCTAATGGGTTCTCTGGCTCCCTTCCACGCCTCTCCTGCTGGCTTCCTGGGCCGGTCCTCCTGGCTGCTCCTGGGCAGAGCTGCCCACCCTCTGCCACTCCAGTCGGTCCCCTCCCTGGCCTCCTCCTGCGAGCTCAGTCCATCTGTGCTTCCTGTCTCTGCTGGGCACACCAGACCCTTGCTCCACATGGCCAAACTGCATTTAGTTTTCCTATCTGGACTGTTTATCTGCTGACAGGAAATAGAGCCTGAGTCACCCTGGAGCCCTTGAGGCGAGTCTCTCCCAGGCTCTGCAGACAATCCGTCACTAAGACTTAGTTCTGTTTCCTGAGCATCTCCAAAATGGATGCATTCTGCTCCAGTTATCAAACGGTTAGGACACTCTCCTGGCTTCTATCCCTCGACTCCATGTTGACCTGTGGACACCACCGCTCTTGCAAGACCTGCGTGTGCCTACCAGAGAGCTCCTTAACTGAGTTCCTTGACCGTGCCCTGAAGGCCTTGAGCAGTTTGACCCTGAGACGTCTATTCCCTGGTGCCCTACCCGCCCTCACCTGGCACTCAGAGGGGATACATCCACCCAAGTCCGAGCCATCTCCTCAGTCAGTGGTGACCGGCATGCCTGCCTGTCTAGTTCTTCCCAACAAGAACGACCAGCCCTTCTCTAGGGCATTGCTTATCCCTGTTCAATTGGATTCCCAGGCTCCAGCTGCTGTTTCCCGCACACAGTATAGGTTTGGTGAGCAAAGTCCCTGTGACCCATTTTTCTCATTTGAAGAAAACAATTTCATAACTCCCCTAACCACTTCCTTGCTCCAGATTCAATCAGCTTGGTTTTTGTCTTTTTAAAAAGATACTTTGAGGGCCTGGAGAGATGGCTCAGCGGTTAAGAGCACTGACTGCTCTTGCAGAGGACCCGGGCTCGATTCCCAACACCCACATGGCGGCTACAAATGGTCCTTAACTCCAGTTCCAGGGGAATCCGAAGCCCTCTTCGGACCTCTGCAGCATTGCACGACACGGGTGCACTCACATACATGCAGACAATACACTCATATACATTAAAAAAAAGATACTTTGATTTATGCGTAT